CAGTTCATCCCAAAGGTGTTCAGTGGGGTTGAGGTCAGGGCTCTGTGCAGGACACTCGAGTTCTTCCACTCCAACCTTCACACACCATGTCTTCATGGAGCTCGCTTTGTGCACAGGGGCATTGTCATGCTGGAACAGGTTTGAGTCTCTTAGTTCCAGTGAAGGGAAACTGTAAAGCTACAGCATACAGAGACATTCTGTACAAGTGTGTGCTTCCTACTTTGTGGTAACAGTTTGGAGAAGAACCACATGTGGGTGTGATGATCAGGGGTGCACATACTTTTGGTTATAGAGTGAAAGTTGGACAGATACATTAATGAGCTATGAATTGTGGTGCTCCTACACAAATTGTGAAAAGGACTGAAATGATTGTTTAAATATTTTGTGGTATTTTCCATCTCACCTGCAGTTCCCCACAGTATGAATACCTCTGGTTTAACGATGAGCAATTCAGAGAATAAGCCTAGCTCCAGAGCGAGCAGTTAAAATTCGTGTTTGCACCTGCTCTTGATATCTTCTCATGATATCTTCTTTTTTTAACGGTTCTAAAAAACGGTTCTTAGGGTTCTATTTCCCAAAATATAAATGAAATGTGTGGTGAGAGTCAGGACACAAGTGCGTAAAAATCCACAAAGCATCATCATTAGCGGGGCACATAACACTGACACTCAGCAACACACATATAAGAGATAATCCATATTCAGAAATCATGAGAAACAGGCCAGGGTCTAAACCAGGAAGTAACACCAGAACTAGGAAACAGCGAAAAACATGGAAACAAGGCTTGAACTTAATGAACTAGACTTCGCACTGGGACTAAAACACAACAGGGTATAGACAGACAAACTAAAAAGGAATTAAACACAAAGCTCAAAATGGCAGATATGAAGCTTTTAATGGTCTTAACAATAAATCATTGGTGAGGAAATGAGCAGGAATGAAGCAGATGCACTCCTGAGAGCTCCTGTGCCTCCGTTCGCTGGTTTCCTTTTGAACTGTTTGGGGAAAAGCTAGAAACAGGGAAATTCACTTCTATAGTCTTCTTGTACACAAAATCATGCTAATGATTCAAATGTTTGACGTAATATTCAAACTGACACACGTCTGAGTGTACAAAATTTTCCAAAAATATGTTCTGGGATTTTTTTTTCGTAAAAGATTAGTCATTATTTGGTTATCTGCCGCATCTGATGCAGCTCATCGAAAGCCACAAGACTTAAACATTTACAGAAATCAAAGGGAAAAGCTCTCGCATACTGAACTCCTTTATCTATCTGTTTCATTCCTGCTCACTTCCTGACCAATGATTTATTGTTTAGACCATTAAAAGCTTCATATTTTGTCATTTTGGGCTTGGACCATTTTTTTTGCCCAGGAGTGTAAACCAATCAGAAGACAGAGGTGGAGATAAGACAGAAATCTAAACAAAACGCACACGGCTAATGAACAAACCAGAAGCAGCGCTGTTGGCGCTGAGAGAGAGAATTCATGACAGTAAACAAGCAAAAAGCCTCATTTCACAAACACACACGTTACTGAAGATGAATCAGTGCGACGAGTTTGTTGTATTAAAGTAAAAACCACACGCTCCTGCGATGTTTTTGTCCCAGCGTACTCCTCTACTCTGAACTGATGAGACTTTTTTATCTTTTAACTTCAAGCAGAGAATAATGCTGCGTTTTGTTAAAACTAAAGGTCATAACAGCTAAGAAAAAAAATCTACTCGAGAACGCTGAGTTTAACGAGCGACGTCGAATCAACATCAACATGGCCGCTCGCCGCGTCAGCAGTAAACACAGCAGCACTTCTTACCTTTAAATAAGTTATACTCTACATACTATTTAACATGTTCACTCTGACTCTGAGGAACTCTGACTCTACAGTTCACTTCTCTGAGGTAAATATACAGTACATCAGTCATCACAGTTAGCTGGCTAGCATGTTGCTAACAAAAGCCGAACATGGTGACGTCCGTGGTTTTTAAGCTTTATAACTTACGAACTCCAACTTCTGAGTTAATTAGAATGCAGCATAAACACACTTCTCTGTCCACATGCCTTTAAACATTCTGTTTTCATCAAAAACGTCCCTTTCTAACCTCTTTAGCTCTCTCTGTAGCTAGCCACTGATCCGATGAGCTGCCTTTAGCTAAATCATTTACATAAATGAATGTGATTGGATGAAACAAGCCATGATGGTTCATGTTTACATGTTTACATGTAAACAGTTTCTTTCATACTTTGCTGCGTTTGCATGCTGATCACGTTCTGCAAGTGGATGAGCTCTGGCTTACAGTCTAGCTTGCGAGAGTAGTTACATTGTTTCGTCTCAGCAGCCAATCAGAATACAGGACACAGCATAGCGGAGGTGTGCTAGTGAACACATGTTTAAGTTATAAACCCATTTTTGTGTTTGATATGTGATTAGAGATTGAGAATTTTGGCGCTGATGGGATGTAAACTGTGTGTTTTGTTTCCTCAGGAGTACCCCATGGTTCTCGAGTATCGTCCTCGCATCGACTTCGGTTAAAACTCGAACCGAGCTGCAGTGATGGACAGATGAAAGAGTAAGAGAGAGAGAGAGAGTGAGAGAGAGAGGACTAAACAGACAGCAATGGACACTTTGCTTCTCTCATTCAACTTCCTCATCGTTCATCCATCACTTATTCCTGAGTGACAGGTCCTGGCTCCGCCCCCGTCACACACAACTATTTCTCCACGGATGGAATAAAACATAAAGCACTTCGGAAATGCACTTCTGGCAAGTTTGGAAAGAAAGCGTGTGCGTGAATGGCGTCTTCCATTTTTTATATTCCTGAAGACGAAGGAAAGACGGAAAGATTTGGAAACGTAAATGAACAAACGTGCCTCTTTTGTATACACACACACACACACACACACACACACACACTGGGGAAAAAATGAACCACTTTAAAAATGCACTTAATGGAAAGAAAGATGGCGGCCATTTTGTTTTGAAACTTTTTGAAACTTTTTTTTTTGGAAAATTTGCTAATTCTGGTGGTAACAATGAAGAAAATGGAGCAGCAGCCAGTTAGCATAACAGACACGCAGTCATAAGAGTCATGCTAAATTGGTTTCTACCAGCTTCCATTCATTGTTAGCTGTGTTAGCATGCCCAGTTAGAGTCACTGGTTTGAAGCTCATTTCAATTCTATGATTTATTATTATTATTATTATTATTATTATTATTATTATTATTGTTGTTATTTCTGATACTTATGAAGCAACTCTGATCCCATATCTGTAAGCTATGTCTACACTCACGTACTTCACATAGGGTGCGTCTCAATCAGCTCGCTAGCTCCCTCGGTGGTGAATCAGTAGATCGTGTACGCGAGTTCGGGCACTAGGACCCTGATCACTACACATTGTGACGCCGATGACTCCATTTCCGTCGCCATGACTACGTACTCGCGTTGTAAAACATCACCACTGGCGTTTATCACTAACAGGCAGAACCGATATCTTTCTGACGTTATACTTTATATAAATTTGTTAGCTTAATCACACGTTTCTGTCAAGCAGGATCGTAGGCTTGCTAGTAGATTTTTTTAAATCATTAAACACTTGAAAGTCGTTAGACTCGAACACACTGTATACAGAACGTCAAATAAAGTTAAAAATTGCAAATGTAAGTAATCATTTGAGAGCCACAACAACAACAAGAAGCTACTTACGTTTGTAGACGAAGTTGTCTGAGAGTTCGTCCGCCATTTTATCAGAAAATATGACGTCATTTCCTGTAAGGGAACATAGTGAGCGTTGATGCTCCCTGGTTTTTGCAGTGCATTGTGGGATTTTTTAGGGAGTGAACGTTCCAGTGCACTGGAAGGATTTCGCGATTGCGACAGAACTTAACATGGCCACCTCCCTGAGCTAGCGAGCGGATTGAGACGCAGCCACACTCTTAGTTTTACTCTATAAATGTCCAAGTACTAGATAGTCAGCTATGTAGTGTACAGTGTATGAATATAGTGCGTACACACACACACACACACACACACACACACTCCCAGGCAAGATTCTTCAACAATGATTATCAAATATCTATGTTTGTAAAAACTGAAAATCTGGCTTACTTAATCACATCATCATCATCATCATCATTAAATTAACCAGCGGAGAAAATGGAGGAAAAAACCCCAA